GGCTGAGCGACGACTGCGACTGGGCGCGTTGCATGGCGTCGGAAGCGGCACGTGGTGGTGCGCTCTTGGGTGGCTGCTCTCCGCCGAAGGAGGAGGGGAGCGTAAGGTTGGCGGTAAGGTTGGCGATATGGGCGGCACGGTCCATGGCGGTGAGCGAAAGACGTCGCACGCGGCACGGCGAGGCGCTCGACTGCACCGACGACGGCGTCTCGAATCCACCTCCAACACTGGACCCTAACGAGAACTGCGGGTGCTGCTGGTAGGCGTACATGTTTGGTGGGGTCTGCTGAGGCAAGAAGCGGTGCTCGTTGGCAAGCTGCTCGACGCGACGTTCGGGTGTCGCATCGACCTCGGAGGTACGGCGACGCTTTGCATCCTCGTTGAAGGTTGCGGCGGCCGCTGCCGAGGCATGATCAGCGTTGTTGGACATGCTTACGGTCAAGCGGGGCGGAGACATGAGGAAGCCAGCTCCCGATGTATTGTGTGCCTCTGCGTTGAAAGCCATATCCATGCCGTGATTAGCAGCATCAGTGTAGGCCATAGATCCATAAGCGTCCACCGAGATGCTCATACTCCTCGCACCAGAGACGGCGCCCGCCATGGGACCGAAACCCGTTAGGGACGAGCTGGAGTCGCTGGAGGGCATGAGCGTCTGGATGCTGTGACGACGGCCGGAGTTGGATTCGGCGCGCACGTGGAGCATCGAGCCGAAGCCACCCGCCGGTTGGGACGTGTTGGGGCGCTTGCCCAAGAACGAGTAGTCGCCGTTTTCCAGCGTTTGTTGGATGTCGGCGTTCATGCTATCGAAGTCGAGCGCTGCGGCGAGGGACTGGGCGTCGCCGCTCATATCAGCGTCAATGAGACCGGGTGCGTTGTGAGCGAATACCAGGCTGGCGCTCTCGCTTGCGTCGACACCTGCGCGTGCGTCTTCGCGCTTAGTAGCAGAGACGAAGGCAGCGTTTGCCGCGCTGATGGAAGCGTTGTGAAGCTGGAGACGGTCGTTGACGTCGTGTGCCTTGTGGGCCATACCGTTGTCCGGAGTGTATAGGTGCGAAGAAGACGACAGAGTCGATTCAGAGTGGGCTGGCGAAGGGAAGAGGTTCTGCGTGTCTCCTGAGGGAGAGCTCGTTTGGGCAGTGAACATGTGAGCTATGGCCCTCTGGAGCCAATAGGTGATTAGCAAGGAAGTTGACCGTCACGCGAGCGAGACGTTCGGGTTCTGATAGATGGATCAGAGAGACCGGGATTGAAAGGAAGTCGAGTCCTAGCTGGTACAGAGCAGATACGACGAAGTCAGAGTCTGTTTGGACCCGAGAAGCAGAACGAGGGCTGTAAAATGGGGAAGCGGGGCGGAATCGGCGGAAAAGACTGTGGGTGGCGCGTCGAATAGCGTCGCTGGATGGACAGAGGAGTTGAGGCGAGGCTGAAGGCGGAGGAATCTGGAAGGAGGGGTACAGATATGGCGGGCAGACGTTGTCTAGCAACGAGTCTTTAAGGAACGGACTGCAGTCGGGGACCAGGGGAAACCGAAAGAGAGCGAGAGGAGTGGGGTAGGGTCGATGCTAGAGACGAGGGGATACTAGTGAGAAGTAGAAAGGGAGGGGGTCAAAGGGAGGGATCGACGACAAGCATGAGCCGTTTTAAGGTGGAATGAAGCGCGACAGCACGGAGAACGTCTGGGAGGTTCGTCTAACGAAGCGCTGGCCCCAAGGTGGATCGGCACTTACTGTCGAACAAAGTACGATGGTGATTGTGGGCGGTTGCCGACTTGTCGCTGCTTCCCGCTGCGAGGATGGCAAAGAGAAAGCGAAGCGAGAGTAATGCAAGCTGAGCTGAACTGGATCCGTGGCTACAGCTGACGGGTGCCAGGAAACGGACGACTTGGAAGCGGGACAGGGCGCTGCAGGGGTGTGGTGCAACAAAGAGAGAGCGCAAGGGGTTCTTGATGCAAGTGAGCGGGAACGCGGATCGAAGGAAGTGATTGCGGGCGGCACTGATGAGCTGCTTTTGGTGGTGCCAGGTGGACCAGGGGGCGGATTGAGGCGGGATGCTGCGCGATGGCTGCGGCTTGCAGGGGGGGAGGAACGGATGGGAGAAGGGCCATAAGGCGAGAAATGCGGGGTGCAAGGGGTCACGTCAATGAATGCCACTCGCTTTGCAGGACGTCAGCCGTTTGGAAGCCTTGTCTCGTCCAGAAAGACTGCTATGCGCGAAAGATCGACAAATGAAACCACAAAGCCACGGACGGATCCGATCGGTGCGGGGCTGGCCTTCCAGTCATCATCCTCCTGTGCCATCTCCTGCTGCGATTCACAAAATGGGAACCTTGGCAACGAGTGGCTTCGACTGGACAATGCGGCAGTATCTTGATCGAGACAGAGAGCCAATCGATGCACTGGCCTATTCTGGAAGCCTCACTCCGGAAAGTGTGACAGGGAGGCTCTCTTGCGTGCGTCTGCAGGCAGGGACCCGGAGTCCTTGGCGTCTGACTGACGTGTCTCGTTGGCTCGTCCATGGCAAGAGGCGACGGAGCTAGGCGAGAGCAGCGCTTCCAATGGCCGGCGGACACGGTTTACAACGGCTCCAAGGGAGGAAGGGCGGATGCAGCTCGATGGAAGTGGGCCAGTGAGGGGCCGACAGGGTCCAGGAGGAGCATCTGCGCGTGGCGGCATCGATGCAAGACTGATGCATCGACAGACGCCAGGGGTCTGGCGTGGGCACGAACCGCGGTGTGGTGAAGGGGGGCGGAATGAAACAAATAAAAAGTATAAAACAAAAAATATAAAAAAAGGCATGCGAGGCTGGCAGGCAGACACCGTCACCACGGTCACCAATGTTTCGCTGGAGCTGGTCTCGTGCTGTATCTTCGGCGGAGCGAATAGACAGCCGGCCATCGAGCGCGGCAGGATGCGAACGTAGCCGCCTGAGTAGTATGGAGCGCATAGCCACCTTTCTTTCGGGGTCCGTACGATGAATTCGCATGGCGAAGAAGGGTACGGCCGCGAGAGGCATCGAGTCAAGGGTCGCAGGAAGAAGCAACGTGATGCGAATGAGGCAAGACGATCAGATCCGCACAGCCTTCACCCCTTCCGCCGTTCAGGCTCGCAGCGCCGAGAGGACAGCGCGAGCCGAATGCACGGCTACTAGTGTGGCGAGCTGAAATCGCATCGCCGGTCTGTGGGTGACTGGTCACTTATGCAAAGAGCCCGTGCAACCGGACGCCAGTCTGAGCGGCGAGTACTGTGGCTTCCCAAGTCGTGCAGAAACGACAGATCACAAGGCAGTGCTGCAGGACGTATTGGCGCCGGCATCGTTGACTGCGTCAATCTTCGCCGTGCAGCGCTGTCTAAAATAACGCTGCAAACAAGGTGGAATCGAACTCCGTCCTCGACACTGCAGCCGCCAATTCGTCAGCGAGAAGCAACGCCCGCTCGACCGATGCAAGCCGGACAGCTGCTTCCAGTGCGCTTGCCATCACAAGGCGCGCTGAAGCTCAAGCTGACGAAATTGAGCAGCAGATGGTCTTAACCGGGCAAGGAGAAGGGCAAAGGCAAGCGAGTACGCAAGGCGGTAGGTTGTGCAGCGCGACCCTCTGGCTAGTCATCATTGCTGCAGCGGTGCTCCCGGCATCGAGGAACGGCAACAGCGGCACAGTCCTAGGAGCGCAACGGTGCAGACCCGCCGCCATGATGCTGAGCGTTGCCTTCGCCTATGAGGGCCACGACGCAAGGGGCGCGAGAAATCCAACGCGAAGGGAATTTCCGCCCAGTCGCCGTGAGACCAACACTTTTCGAAGGCGGCTGCTGTGCCACTTTTGAAAGGGGCGTTTTTAGCTCCGCTCGTGTCGCGTCTGCACCTTTGCCCCCCTCTCTTGGCGACGTGACAGCGCGTTTGGACTACGCATCGTTCTCCTGCCGCTGCACTGGTACAACCTCTGAAGGCGCTGCCAGGCCTCTGCTTCCTCAATTTGAGGATGCAGAGGCTTGAGGAAGCAGAGGCCGAGACCTACGAGCACTCGAGGCCCAAGAATGAGCGTGATTTGCGATCATCAGAAGGCGAGAATGGCAAGGCGTCGACAGGGTTGCAAAGCTGGGCGAGGAGGCTGCATCGAACGCGCCCAAATTCATCAGACCCTTGCATGTGCGTGCAGGCATGTGGGATGGGCGCATCGGTCAGGCAGAGCATCGCAAAAGCCTCGTCCGCTGTCGCCACATCCGCCACAAAGGACTGGCATGGGAGATCAAGTGACGCTCATCGGCGGTGTGCAGAACCCGATATGAAGGGAGGAACCCTCATCTTCATCTGCTCCTGCCGAACTCGCCTGCGTGCCAGCCCTTACTTTCCTCTCTCCCGCGCCGCTCCGCATCAGCTTCGGTGCGACCATTGTAGCCGCCAACTGTGCCTGAAGTCCCAGTTGCCGATGGTCTGCCGCTGCATGTCTGCCCCTTTGCGGGAGTCAGCCGAGCCAGTTGCCGACCTCTTTGTCCGGTGCTGATCGGAGTGCCAAAGCTCATCCGCGGTTCCGCTTCTCGGCAACAGTCGTTCTGTGTCCACTCCGTCATCCAGCGCTTTGCATGAGACCAACACTCTGAACATCGTGGCTTCGCAAGTGTTGCTCTCGAGAGCGACACGACTCTCGCGCGCAGGGCTCCCATGTGCGCGTGACATCGGCTTCCTTTTTGGTACTGCCACTTGCCCCTGCCGCTGGACCTAGCAGATCCAAGCCGGCTGCCCTCGCTTTGTCCCATGGCTCCTTGCCTGTCGGGATCAGATGAACTCTAAAAGGGACCACTGAAGGCGACACTTTACCGTCTTCGACCGATGCCAAGAAACCGAAGCCTCCACCACTGAACAAATCGATGCGGAACGACCCTGCGAGGCAGCTCAACGGAGGCGGTGGCGTGACTGCCGAGGCGGAACCATCTTCACTTACCTTGAGTCGCTGCTATCGATAGCTTGGCGTCCGGAGGGCCAGCTTTGGGTGGAATCCGATTGAGATCGCCGATCGAGGTCGATGCGCGCTCGAGCGTTGCCTTCCGATGCTAGCAGAATCGGCCTTAAATGCAGGTACCGGATGGATTCAGGGGGAGGGCGGTCTCTCCTGACTGAAGCGAGCTGCAATGATCAGGGTGGAAGGCTTGGTGCAATGGTGGAGAGTGATGGTGGAGAAGATGAGGAGGGAAGCGAGATGCGTATAAGCAAGGGGCAAGAATCCTGGCTTCCTCAACTTAAACAGTCAATGTTTGTGGCGATAAACGCAAGGAGGCTAGGAGCGGCACGGCGCGGAACGGCACGGCACTGTCAGAGGGATCCTCTGTCGCTCGAGAGATTCATCCGGCCAAGGCAAAGGGTGCAGCTGCCGGCAGACGTCAAACTAGTCCGGTATCGACGGTGCTGCTTGACATCGGAGAAGCGTTCGACCAGCGAGCAAGGCAGCTCCCACTGTAAGCGTGGGCGGATCACATGAGGTTGGCGATCTCCGGTCACTGTGGGCTCACGGGATTGGCCGCGCTCAGCTATCGAGGTCATCCACGATGGCTCAGCGCACGGACGCCACATCAGCGTCATTCGTCCCACATCGATCATTATGGTGAGCTTTAGCGCAAGGACGAAGCCTTGGCCCCGAAGCGGTGTAGTAGAACGACCTGCTTCCATTTCAGGTAGGCTCTAGAAGCCTCGACCTCGCTTTAGGGTCACCGTGCCCTCCAGGCTTACGGTAGTTCGTGATCGTGAAGACAAGACAGATGCGATGCACACGTGTCCATCGAAGCGGGTCGCACATCTGCAGCCAAGGACACTATCCGCAGTGACTGGCCCTGTATGAGCTGCAGGCTTGATGCCGTACAGCACTTTGGTCTGAGCAACGCCGGATAGGTCCGTAAAGTACCCCTCCTTCTCCAGGAAAGGAAGGTGGCCAGGGTCAGACCTGCGGGTTCACGATGCCACGGGACACTTGGCACATGTGTCAGGTGCTTCGCCGATGTTGGCGCTACAAGGCTGCTTGCAGACAAGGGCAAGTTCGTCGTTGCTGGAGCGGTATAGCTCGCTGTCATACCGTAGCGTTCGGGCGAGCAGCTGATGCGAGCTTGCAGTGTGATTGAGCCGCCCGGAAATTATCTTCGACGTTGAGAGCCGCGCTCGCGTGCACCACGTCAGAGAGGGCCGCGTTTTGACAGATCCGACTCTGTTCTCGGGTGCAGCTACATGCCTCGCTCCCGCGCACCTCAGACACCGCTGTCTCGCCAAGCGCAGTGCCGCAGAAGGCCATGCGGCCACCATGCAAGCATCGGGGTGGCTCTTTCTGAATCTAGGCGCGCTGATCTCGCCCACTTTATTCCACTCTCCTTGCTCCCGTTGGAGATCCTTCGGTCGCAGAGTCGTCTTCTCGTCGCTCTCCGCTATGTGTCGGTACCTCTCTTGTGTCGCTTGACGAGGACCACGACGCGAGATGTGCGATTTTACATTGCCGAGCCCGCCCCACGTTAACGGACCTTGGTTTCGCGGGCCAGCCCGTGTAACACTATAACTCGAGGCCTAGCGTGAGAAAGCTGTCCGCGGTGTCGGAACTGTCTGAAACCTCGAGCCAGGCTCAAGCTGACGCCCTCTATAGGACTGCCGGATGGTGAATGGACGCGGGGCGAGGCGCTCTGCTGTTTTGGTGGGGCTGCAAGATTCAATCCGTCCTTTTTTGACATATTTTTCTGTCTCTATTTTTCTCCAGGACTTCGGCAAAGTATTGATGGTGGCAGCCAATGTACACGACTCCCATCTTCGCCTCGCTGATCGTCTCTACGCCTGTCTAGCGACAATCAGCTGACGTCCCTGCGAGGTGGCGCCCGTAGAGTGAGATTCAACGGGGTCTGAGCATCGAGTGTTCGCACGGACACGGTCAGCTCAAGGGGCGAGTCGGCTACCCGATGCAGGACGACATCGCCGATTTTCCAATCGGACCTACCGATGCGACGCCCTCGACGCGCCTCTGTTGCTCCACACAAAGTCGGGCGGACCCTGGAAACGACCCCAACACCTTCCGCCACAACCACGACCTTACGACCTCGCCTCCGTTCAACAGCCTACTCGGAAGACAGGAAGGGCTACGGCCTCGAGCGGCGATCCGTCTTGGCGATGCACTAGAGCGCCATCGAACAATCGACCAGCCATGGCATACCTACCGCCGATCCACACGCTGTGGGAGCACACGTCGCACCCATCGAAAGGAGCCTGGTCGCGATCCCCCTCGCCGGAGCCCGTCCACCACGAAGCCACAGCAGGTACCCAAGCAGGTCCGAGTACGCAGCTGACGCCCGCTCGCCAGGCGGCCGTGCAACGTCGACTAATACGTCAGTCAACGCGTGGCGACCACCTGCCTGCGCGGACACGGAGCGCGGAGCAAGCGCGCATGCTTCGTGCGCTCAAAGGCTTCCCGCCCATTGGCAGCTCAGCAGATGCGGACCAGCTAAGCGACTTGGAGGAGTCAATCGAAGTGGGGAAGTACCAGATGGTGCGCTTCGGCGAGCGGTACATTGTGCAGATCGGAAGGCGTCGCACCATGCGCGAGGAGGAGCTTTCCAACGAGGAAGACGATGGTCGCCGAGCGGCCATGTCGGCCGTCGATACCGGCCTCTCCATCGGCGCAGAGGGAGCTGTACTGACTGCAGAGGATGGTTCGGTGCTCGCCGATAACGAGAGCGGCTCCATCCCCTTCGTGGGCGGGCATACGGGTCACGCAGCACAGGCGGCGCTGGAACAACGACAAATTGCGGAAGCGGAAAGAAGAGCGAGGGAAGCTGAGGCAGAGGCCAACAGAGCGGCAGCAGCAGCGGAAGCAGCACGCAGCCAGGCCGAGCGCCAGGCGGCTTTCCAGGAGGAGGAGGACGCGGTGGATCTAGATGGTGACATCGAGGATCTAGATGAAGGCGACGAAGACGTCGACTTTGATTGACATGCTATTAGCAACGTCCTGCCATGAAATGAAGGCAATGGGTCACAGCCTGTCATTCTTCGTCTTGACCGCACCGTTCTGCTGTTCATAGTGGGTTACGTCAACACTCATTGCCCCTTCAAAGCAGCTCGAGCGCGCTAGGGACTGTTCGCATACTGGAGAGAAAGTTCGTTGAGACCCTTTGCTTCCGGTACGATGCCGCAAGCTGCCAATGACGATCTCACGAGTGCCTGAAGGTGGTGCGAGTGCTGAGGCGAGGAGCGAGGAGGCGGGTGGAAATATGACCATTTCACTCGTGCGAGAATTTCAAAGAGCGCCCGAAATCCGCGTTGCCTCGGCCATCAGCATCACGCTTTGGGCGCACAGACCGATGGCTGTGCGGGTCGAGTTGAATCGGCTCGGCGCCTGGTCGAGTGCCCATCCGCAGTGCCAACTCCACACGCTCTCGACTTCTCAACTTCGAGCACAGACACCGTCTGCTTTCTACACCGTCATCGCTCTTCACCTCCGCTGCTGCATTCGACGTCTCGCACTATACAGGCGCTCACCACCACATCACCGTACGCAAGCCACCGGCCTCGCACTTCAGCATAGCGGCGCCGATCGATCGAGCCTGCCGCCTCCACTTGAATCTTCGCACTCGTAATCGAATCGCAGACGAGGATCGAAAGCAGCCGAGATGATTCTGCTAGGAACGGAGAACATCATCATCCGTGATGTGTTGACAGAAAAGTTCGAGAGGTGAGTCGAGATGACGGTGGATGCTGCAAGACAAATTCAAGCTACTGACCACCCAACGAATCCCGCCAACAGGCCGGCGTCGGTAGACCAGACATTCACGGATTTCGATGGCGTTGCGTACCACCTCGAGTCGCCGAGTAAGGCGGGCCCGTTGACGCTGTCCATGGACATCCGCTGCTGGTCGGAGCTGGTGCAGGCGGGAGCGATGGATGTGCTCCAGCGCGAGTACGGCTCGTGGCTGCGCAGCTCGGTGGAGCCCGAGTACAGCGTGACGCTCGAGTTCGACTTTGCCAAGGTGCCTGCGCCAGGGCCGGAGCGCGATGCGCTGATCGAGAGCGTGTCGTTGCTCAAGCGCAATGCCATGGCGGCGCCGTTCGAGCGCGCGTTTGCGCTGCAGAAACAGCTCGAGCAGGCGTCGGAAGGCGGCCAGCCGGCCGCGCCCGGCGAGATCATGCCGATCAACTACCGCGACGACGAGGCGATCTACGTGATTCCGTCGGCGGATCGTGTGACGGTGGTGTTCAGCACGACGTTCAAGGAGGAGACGGACAAGGTGCTGGGCAAGGTGTTCCTGCAGGAATTTGTGGATGCGCGACGCCAGCCGTCGATCCAGAACGCGCCGCAGGTGCTCTACTCGAATCGCGAGCCACCGCTCGAGGTGCGCAACGTCGCCGGCCTCAACCGCGGCGAAGACGTCGGCTACGTCACCTTCGTGCTCTTCCCGCGACACTTTGCCAACGCCGAGGTGATGGCGGGTACGATCTCGCGCATCCAGCTGTTCCGCGACTATCTGCACTACCACATCAAGTGCTCCAAGGCGTACATGCACAGCCGCATGCGCCACCGCGTCGCCGAGTTCCTCAAGGTGCTCAACCGTGCCAAGCCCGAGCTCGCCGAAAAGGAACGCAAGACCGCCAGCGGCAGGACGTTCCGTCGTGCATGATAGCAGCTCTTGCCGCCCGCTTCCCTCTCATCCTCTGTTCTGCCGCAATCGACAGATTGAAATCAATGTGCGCTCATGTGAGTGGATGCGTACTTCAGTCGTGCACGGTACAGCTGTGGTATTAGCAAGGGGCAGTCTAGGATACAATGAAGCACTCGCCTGGAGCGAGCTGCTTGAGGACGCAAGGTATGTGGGGATGTTGCTGCCTGAGCCGGCTTGCAGCTTTGTCTAGCGAGACAGTGGTTCGCTTGATGAGGTGTCCGACAATACCTTCGGCTCGCTTGTGCTCGTCGTGTGTGGCGAGCACTGCATCTGGCTGAAAGGTGGGTATCAAATCCAGGACGTTGGGAAATCCACACGCCACTGTGCCGATGAGGGGCAGCGTCTGCCGGTCGAAGCTGTGTATCAGGATCCTCGCCATCTTCCCTGGCGACGGTGACTGCATGCGTGCTTGGATCGACCTGGGCGTGACGCCGTGTGGAGAGTATAAGATCTGCGTTGGGGTCGTGGCATTTGCACACGAGATGAGGATGCCCGAATGCAGCTTGTGCCATGCTGGGGAGGCAGCCCAATCCCTAGCAGGCAGATGCTCGATCTCTATGCCTACTGGAAGCACGTTCGTATCGCCACCATCCTGACGGTAGGCCGTTGATGTTATGTCCACGATGGTTCCTGCAGGGATCCCCTTGATGCCGAGCGCTCGCAGAGCGGACAGCGAGTCGTCCGTGGTGAAGATCGCCGTGACCGCGCGAAGGACCGCTAGCGATTCTTCATCGCGCACGGTCTCGGGATGAAGATGGTCTGTGAAGGGATGGCTGAACAGCACGGCGTCCAGGGCTTCGTCGGAGGGGAGCGAGCGCAGCCAGCGGTCGAGCTGGGCGAGAGATCCAAACGCAGCAGGCTCGACGCGTGTCTGGCGCGAGAACAGTGGCAATCCGTCGACTTGCGGCGTCGGATGCAGCCAAGGATCGAGAACAATGTTGTAGAATGACCGTGACTCGAGCTGCTGCTTGAGAGGGAGCCGGATTAACCAGGACGTGTCGCCGTTGAGTTTGTGCAGCTCCACCGCCGCCATGGCCGTAGGCACGCGAGCTTTTCGGATGGCCCCGAGCCTCGAGATGAAGCACGACGTGCTCGAGATAGAGCAGTTCCTTCCGTTGGCAAGCAGGAGCTGGTATCGATGTCGGATGCGCCGAAGATGCTGCTCAGGTATAACAGGGACAGACGCCTAATGACCAGGCCTTGCATGTGGTGCGTGCAGGCTAAAGCCGTCGTGTGTGGAGGCTGCGCCCGCTAAGAGCGCGTCTCTCTGTGCGGCTCAGCCGAAAAGGTGGCTGGCTGGGCAGGTTCACGCGAGGTGGCCCACCGGTTTGGCTGCGTTGCTCAGCCGCGAGCTCAGCTAGACATGGCACGGACGCTCTCGCTCGATGTGGCTGCAGGTGGGGCCATTCCCGCTCCTCCGCAGCTCGACGGCCGCAGCGACCCAGCCAGACCCTGCAGCTGAGTCACTGGACGCTACTTTGCCCCTCCTCCTTCTGACTCGCTCGCTCGCTCCCCCCTTCCTACATCCACCACAAACTTCCGATCAACTTTGAGGGGACTATCAATCACACCACCGACCCGATCTAACCCCCTCGGCTTCAAACACACCATCAGCCACCACACGAAAACGACTGCCACATCGAGGTGCAGCCATTCAATGATGTCAAACTTACTGCAGAGCGTGCTGAGCTCGCGTCTGGCGAATGCAACGCTAGGCACATCCGACACCAGCCCCACCGAGTCCAAAGAGGGACTCACCGAGTGGGAGCAGGTCGACACGGACGACGAGCTGGTCAATGTCCAGTCCAATCCGGGCACCGCTGCCGCGACGCCCCTCGAACGTAGCCGTCCCGCATCACCTACCCGCGCCAACTCGTCCTCGCGTCTTGCGGCTGTCGAGACGGATACAACCGACTTTGAGAGCGATGCCGACCCGGACACCACGGCGCGTGCGCCTGGCTCCTCTGCGGCTGCCTCTGGTGCAAGCCGCAGCAAGCTTCGCACGAGCTCAAAACGCAGCACGTCGTCGCGATCCAAGACGGACCCACTGCGCTCGCTCAATAGCGAGATTGCGCAGCACATTTTCCTGCAGCTTCCGGTCGACTCGCTCATCGCATGCTCGGGTGTGAGCAAACGCTGGCGTCGCTCGGCCACGCTCAACTTCTGCTGGTACCGTCACTACCAGCACGCGTTCTCGGCGACGTCGCTCGAGTCCAACATGCCTCCGATCCCGGCGTGGGGCAGTGGAGGAGCCAAGTGGACACGGCGCGAAAGCAAGACGGACTGGAAGACGCAGTATGCCAAGCAGAAGCGCATCGAGGCGCGCGATGCGGCGCGCGCCGAGTCGCTCCCTGGATCGGGCAGCGTGACGCCGTCGAGGACGCAACGCATGCAGGATGCAGGCATCATGACCACGCACGAAGCCAGGATGCAGCAGTGGCAGGCCGAGCACGACGCAGGCTACACCAAACAGGAGATGCGCGACTACTACAAGGCCGGCCCTAAGGGCGGCAAGTTCAAGGGCAAGCGCGAAAAGGGCGGCGTCAAAACAGGCGCCGCCGGAGACGGAGGGCTGTGGCAGTAGACTCGACCCTCGCCTCCGCTTGTCTTCTGCATCAGGTCTTGTTTCAATTGCGACTTACCGACGGGCAAAGGCACGTACTGCTCAGGCTGTGAAAGTATGAGTGTGTGTGTAAAAGCGTGTGCATTTCTCTACAAGACGGTGAGAGTGAGTTCTAGAAGAGACGGGTGTCTGCCTCGTCGACCTCGTTTTCGTCGTCGGCGTTGGTGTTGCCGCCGAGGCTGACGTCGTCCATGTCGCCGTCGTCGTCGTCGTCTGCGTGCGCGTCGGCGTTCAGGCCACCCGACTCGTCCTCGTGCGATGCCGGCTCTGCCTTGGGTTGCGCATCGGCTGCAGCCTCTTCGGGCTCAGTGGGCGTCACGATGACCTGGGGCGGCGGTGGCGGTGCCGGCAATTCGGAAGCATGCGGCGCCTCGTCGTCCTCACCATCGTCCGAGGGAGCCGATGTGGTGATGATGGGCGTAGGCGGCTGCGGCTGCGGCTGCGGTGGTGAGGGCGCCGGCTCGTCCTCGTTCAACTTCAAGCCGAGTGCGGATCCGGACGCCTCGGCTTGCGAGCCGGCGGCGGCCGCCTCCTGCTGCGTCTCGTGCTCGATCTCGGTAGCCGGGGCAGGCTCGGTGGCCGGTGCACTTTCTGCGGCGCTGCTGCCGACAGGCTTTGCGTCCTTCTCGAGGGGCGGCGGCGGTGGCCCCGCATCCGAAGCGTTGGAGGATTGTGCTGGTGCCGCCGCCGCCGATGTTGCTGCGGTTGGCTCTGCTGCCGACGCCGAATGCTTGCCCAAGACCTGGTCGATGCTCTGGCGGATGGTGGCTGCGTTGGGAGGATCTTGGTCCAGGTAGAAGGGCGAGATGCCCACCATCTTCTTTTGGTCATGGCAGGCAAAGATCCAGTGGGGCAGCACGGCGGGGATGCTGAGCTGCATGGCCTTGGTGTAGCCGTTACCGTGCGCGGAAGGCTGAGCATGGACGTCTCCTGGATTGCGCGGGTCTGTGCAGATGTAATGTGTGGTGTCGATCTGGATGCGGTCGCTCCACTTTGCCTTCATGCTGGCGAGCGCCTTCTTGGCGGCTTCGAGCATCTCTGCATCATGGACGTGGCCGAAGCAGACGCTGATGCCGGACGTATCGTTGATGGTGTGAGTGCGCGTCTTGATGAGGGGCGAAGAGAAGGTGCCGGCGGTGGTCTTCATGACTAGGTGGAAGGTGTAGTCGGCGTTGACATCGAGACCGGAGAGCTTGGTCGAGGTGTTGTGGAGCGGATTCGGGATGGGTGCCAGTCTCTGGCCATTGCGGTAGATATCGAGCGAGAGGAGGGTGGCAGTGGCAAGGCTGAGTCGCTCCCACTCGAGCGTCACCGAGGTCTGGGTGACGTTGCGCAGGCGAAGCGCGGGCACCTTGGGAGCTTGCTGGCCAAACGTGTGGAGGATGTCTTCTTGGAGGAGGTCAAAGTCGTCCTTCTGTCGACGTTCCTGCTGTTCGTTGCGCATGACTCGGATGTTGACTACACTGCCGGACGAGACGCCGTGGGGCAGGAGGAGCGAGGGGAACTCGATCAGAGACGCCTTCTCGCCGATGAGGATAGCCATGCCGGCATCGAGCTTGCCGACGGTGAAGGTGAACGAGTCATCGTCGCTGTTGGCCTGCATGGTGGAGTGGACGTAGTTGGGTGCGATCTGCCCGACGTAGTGAGCCGACATGCCGCAGCTTGCGGAGGATCCGAGAGGCCAGGTGTGGTGGCAGAGCCGAGTGTGGATTCGAGCGTGGGAGTCAACGCGGACCGCTTGCGGAGAAGCCGAGACTGGCTATGAACGCGATGCAGCGGAGAAGTCGAGCGCGTTGTTTCGGATGCTGCGACGAATGAGCGATGAGGGCTTCGCGATAAGCGCAGAGGTGAAGAAGCCAGGGACGTGATTGTAAGAAGAAGAGGCAACATCATGGCCTCGGCGCGCCGAATGTGTTGCTGTCCGTCCGTCTGTCACTTTCAAGTCCGAGCGCACACTCTGCTGGCCACGCGCTACAGCCATGCCCGATGCCCGATGCCCAACGTCCCCAAAAGGCAACGCGGACAGACCACGCGTGCAGTTCTTCTCGTCTGGGCAAAGCTGCCCAAATTCGGAACCGATTTCGGTGCCCACCCTGCACGGTCTGCAGCAGCACTGTCAAGTTGTATATAGCCTCTCCTTCTGTTGTCACTACCAACACCACCGTTTTTCTAACGCCTCGGACCCTCCCTTCGAGTCAAGGATACTCCGGAGGAATGATCACATTCGTTCCGCTGTCGGTGCCCTACGCTGCGGCGGCGGGCTCCGAGACGAGCGTCCGCACCAAGCTCGATCTCGATGCTGGTCAACAGGAGCCGCAAGAGGAGGAGCATCCGC